GAGCGCCACCGCGCTTCCCAAGCGGCGCACTGTAGCAGTGCGCCACCGGGCCGGCCCCTGTCTGCTTTTTATAATTTTTTTTTTCCCATTTTGTCTTTTTTTGTGTCCGGCAACGGATCGCAATCCTCAGCGTCACGCCCGTACCAGACCGGGACCGGCAACGGGATCGCAACCCTCGGTGTTGCACCCGGACCTCGCTCAGCCAGTGAGCGGGAAACGGTCTGTATGTGGGATCCGAGCCCTCGACGGGAGCGCCACCGCGCTTCCCAAGCGGCGCACTGTAGCAGTGCGCCACCGGGCCGGCCCCGCTTTTTATAATTTTTGAGTATGTTATTTGTCATCATGTTAGCAGGTCTCAGTTCTTGCTGCCACCTGTCTGTCTACAAGCTCTTTACACTGCAAGATCTGGCTCCTCACCAAGGGCAGGCACAGGACGAGTGCCTGAGGATTCGGCTGAGTTTCATGGCTCTCCTGCCAGGGCATCTTATCCTCAGCAACTGTCCTTAACTGGAGTTTTGCATTTCTCCTTCTAATGATCTATTTCTAATCTTTGGACAGAAAAAAAGACCAACTCACCAAACTTCTTAGAAATGCAGCTTAAGCTAGGAAAGCAAGGAGGTCTTTCCTTATAGTTGGGTGCACAGATTTTTATGTCATCTGTTTTGGCTTCTCGGTGGACTTTTGTGGATTACTTCTAAATCTGCATTGGTCTTAGGTGGTTGATATTTCTGCACGGGTGACTTCTGTACAGGATTGTGTTCTAAAGTGTTTTTGAGGCAGGTGGAGGCAAAAGTGGGATTTCTTGTCCCAGGTACTGGAGACAGCTGCTGCCGGGGAATGAAGCCTATGGGGACCACACCTGGATGTGCTGAGTGGCACAGCCCCTCAGAGCCTGTCACTGATGGGGGAAGTGGACATCATGAGCATTTGTCTTGCATCAATGACAGGGCGAGTTGAAACTTTGAGGAAGAGGAAGAGAGCTTGCTGCCAATGGTTGCCTCGTGTCATTTTCTGACACTCACTGTACAGCTTACGTGGTATTTCTCATGTGCCTGGGGATGTCTGAGGATGGTGTCTTTTTTTTTTTAATGCTTAATGAGGTAAAAGTAATCTTTAGGATTGCATGGACAAACGATGTGAATTTGTATCTATGCTGAACAATTTACAGCCATGTCACTGTTAGTGGAGATGGACTGTGGGAAGAACCCCAATAGTTAGGAGAAGAGAAATAAGAGAATATCATCAAGAGAAAGGATATTTTCTTGTATTTTCAGCTCAGCAAATTTATCTCCCAGGCATTTTATTTCTAGGCAGTCACGAGCACCGCCGCTAGCTGGAACTGTCCCTTCTGGTGCACCACGGAAGAGCAGGAGGTTCGTTGCAGTCCACACTTTAAAATTACCCTCCAGAGAGGGAAGATGTGATTTGTCAACACAGTAGCTGCCATTGTGTATTTTAAACATAGGAATTCCCCTCTCGTTGGGTAATTTTGCTGGTAATGAACAAAGCCTTTGTTAAATTGTTTTCCTCTCTTACAGGACTTCAGAAGGCAAATGGCATGCTTCAAGAATATTGAGGATTGAGAATATTAGTGAAAATAATCTACATTTTTTATGTAATTGTACTGTGGTCAGTGAGGGAGGCACAGACACCAAAAGCTTCATCTTGTTGAAGAAAGGTGTGAAATCTTGTTGAAGAAAGGTGTGAATGATTTATTTTTGGAAGTTTGTGGAAACTTAGCATGCTGCTGCTAAGAGACCCCTCAAGGATCATCACTTCCTCATTTTCCACACCAGAGCTAAGCTCCTGAGAGGTGAAATGATTCGTCCTGTGTCACAGACATTCAGTGGCGGACCTGGTGCTCAGCCCTTGCCAGAGTCCTCTGTGTCACAAATCCAAGCACAGAATGAAAACATGAAGTTTATTCCTTTGTTCTCACACTCATATTCCAATCCTATGTAGAAACCAGGGGGCCAGAGCAGGGATGCCGGTGAAGCTTAGGGACGCAGGTGCGGGTGGTTGAGGGTCACGGGGGAGGCAGTCAGAGGAGCCTTTGCACACCCTGCCCTGCACACCCAGAACAGCCAGAGGAAAGTTTGCAGATCAGTGTAGGATGAGCCCAGTGAGTATTGGGCATAATTTCTGGCTCTAGCCACTTTAGCAGGGCTCCTGGCTCGGGGGACCCTCGGGTATGGTCACTCATTCAACAAAGATTAACTGAAGCTGCTTCTTTGGGCCAGCCCCTGGATTTGGCAAGTGGACAGTGGATGACCCTAATCCATGGGTTCTTACATTTTTCAGTGCCCACCTGATGGAGTGCTGCAGGGTCACCCACCCACACAACCCAGGGCCACTGGCCCAGTAGCCACTCAGAAGTGGCTGAGTCTGGAGCCAAGAAGCTATGCTTTTTAGTTGTCACTGCTCATTCCCAGGCTCAGCCACCAGCTCCCGAGATATGTAGGGAAAGATCAGGATCCGAGGGGCTGAGAGAAAGGGAGAGAGACACGGACAGAGACAGACATTCACAGAAATAGACAGACAGATAGAGACAGAGAAAGAGAGGCAGATAGAGATACAGAGAGTGAGAAACAGAGATACAGAGACACACATAAAGAGACGGACAGAGGTGTACAGAGAGACAGAGTGGGAGAGAGAGAGACACCGAGAGATAAATAGTGTGATGAGAGAGAGAGAGAGAGAAATGTATGTACCCATAGATGACTGTGCCTTGCCTTTGGTGAGAAATGGAAGGCGCAGGGCAGAGAGAACCTAAATGCCAGAAGCCATCCTCTCTCGTTGGGCTGTCCTGGTGCCCATTTGCGACTCACCTAGCTCACCTGTTTTACAGCCATCACTCTACCACACACAATAGTAACAATAGCTAACAGTCACTACGTGCTTATTGTATGACGGGGCCTGTGCCAAGTAAGGTCTTTCTCTGATTTCATTCACTCTTAACGACAGGATTTAATGGGGGAAGGAACTCACCCAGGGTCCCACAGCAGGTAAAGGCATTGAAACAGACCTGATTGACTCTAGAATCCATGCTCTTGCCTTCTACAGGAACTGTCGCAGGTGACCCCCCAGCCCCGGTGGTGCCTGTGCCTTGGTGTGTGCACATGTGAGGGACAGGCTTCCAAATCAGTTGTTTCAGTTGGATCTATGGGCCTTGACTGCATTTTGTGGTGACTGCTTGTCACCAACCACCATTCCCCTCATAGGTCCGGGCAGGACTGTCCTCGCCCTGTCCTAGAGGCTTCTGCCCTGACCATTTCTCTTGCTGCTGTTCTCACACATACAGGCTGGGGGACAGGGGTCTCCCAGTCCACCACTCCCCCTGGAGAGTGTGCATGCCAGTGTGTGTGCGTGTGTGTGTGCATGCGTGTGTGCATGTGTGTGTGTGTGCGTGTGTGCGTGTGCATGTGTGTGTGTGTGTGTGTGCATGTGTGTGTGTGTGCGTGTGTGTGTGTGTGTGCATGTGGCACCTTTCAAAGATACAGGCCCTCCAGGCCCTGGCTTTATTCAGAGCCTACTTAGTAAGCAACCACAGTTGCTCACTTGCACCCTAATAGTTAATTTTACTGGAAAGATCATCCCTAAAAATTGGGCAACCTAAGATGGCAAAAGCTTTAAGCATGTTTATAATCTTTGACCTAGAACCCCCCCCACCATTAGAATCTGTTCAAAGAAAATAATCAGAAATATGGCTAAGTGTATATGCACATGTTCATTGAAGCAGTAGGTGTACTTATACAAAATTACAATCCATCTAAATATTGGGATATTATAAATTATAATTTTAATAACCTAGTGAATTGTTTATCATATAATATTAAGAAAAAAGGAATTATTACCATAGGATCTCAATTAAATACAAACTTTCAGGGACAAAAAGAAAACCCAGAAGGAAACATACTATTACGTTAGCCTGG